TGTCCAGGTATGTTAAAATGACAAAGAAATGGAGATTAAAGATACATTGATTCAAATATATACAAGTAGTTAAGATACAATAAAATTATAGTGACCAACATTAAGGGTTGATAGTGTCCTCCATAAGCTACCTTGCACAAGGCACTGATCCAGCTGTACTTGATCTAAGAACTGTTCTGGTTTTCAACAGGGAACATTTTAACGCAGACTTGCATAAGGAAATGACAGAACAAAAAGAGGAGGCAGAATTGTATTTTATGTTGACAATTCCATAAATTCACCCCCCTTACAAAACTTTAGCTCTCCTGCCACCTTTGATTTCCTTTCGGGCACAATTTAGATCCCGTGCAGTAAATCAATCATTGTTGCAGGAATCTACCGCCAACCTAGCTCCCCAGTGCATTCCCTTTCTGACGTAGCCCATCTCCTTAGTGAAACCATCGCTCAAAACCTAAAAAGTGAACATTTGGTCTATGGAGATTTTAATATTGATTGGCTGAAAATAATAGTTTCTTGCTTGCTGTTTAAGACTTTGCAGCTAATTCAAATAATCTCCTCCCCAACTCGCATAAACATTAAAAGCCATAACCATATCCTGCTTGATTGGAATCTGAACAATAACATAGCAAACCCTAGAAACTTTTGGAAAGTCATAAATACAATACAAAATCCCCCAATCCACTCCCAACTCTCAACTGTCAAAGTGGATAACCATACCCTGCAACTTCCCTTACATGTAGCAAATGCCTTTAACCCCTTAACGCCGTTACGGCGTTCTATGCCGTCCCGCATTAAATGGGCATAGAACGCCGTAACGGCTGAAGCCCCCAGGAGATCAGAGGTACTTACATCCGCCGCGATCCTCTTCGGGAGGACTGCCTGACAGCCCAGGCAGCCCTCCCACGGCAAATGAGGCCCCCTGGGGGCCATGTGATCGCTCTTAAAGAGAGATCACATGGCCCCCTACAGCTGGCTGTGGATCTGCCAGCAGGGGGACTGTCTGAAATGTCAGACAGTCCCCCTGCTGGTGGGAAGTGTAAAAAAAAAATATTAAACATGTTTTAAAATAAATTAAATGTGTATATATGTATATATAAAATATATATATATATATATTATAAATATAATATATATATATATATATATACACATCTTATATATATATGTAATGTCATACATAGTGTATTTTAATATTAATATAAGTACAAACACTGGCCAAATATTAGTTTTTTTCACACAAAAACAAATATGAACGTTAACTTTGGCCAGTGTTTGTGACTAACTGGCTATTACAAAAGACTAGACATACCCCACTTGCAATACCTTGGGTAGTGTACTTTTGCAAACGGTATACCATCATGTGGGTAAATCTCATTCCTGGGCTATCACACGGTATCAAAGGTAACATTATTAATCTGTCAAATTTCAATGTGAAAAAACTGAAAAATGGAATGTGCTATATTTGATCCTTTAACTTTCCAAAACACAGTAAAAACTGTTAATGGGGGCTACTGTTGTACTTGTGGGACTTCGCTGAATCCAAATAGGTGGCTTTTTTTGCAGTAAAAGCTAACAGTATTATGACATTTACAGCTAAAATGTGAGGCAGAACTACAATTTTTTTTAAAATGTTAAATTTCTCACAGTTTTTTTTATTTTATTCATAATAAATTATTTTTCATATATAAACATTTTATATGAAATTAAAGTCCTGTTTCTCCTGAACAAAATGATATATAATAAGTGTGGGTGCATATAATATGAAAGAGGTGAATTACGGTTGAACAAACATATAGCGCAAATTCCAGTTTTTGTTTACATTTTGTTTTGATCAGAACGTGCACTATTGACATAGGCGTGTGCACGGGGTGTGCCGGGTGTGCCTGGGCACACCCTAATCCCCGCGGCACGCCTATGTATTGAGACCGGCAGGGGAGATCTCAGGATCCCCCCGTCGGCTCATGCAGAGCCGGCGCTATCCGAGCGCCGGGTCTGCTCTCAGCCTCCCTCCCCACCAACCCACAGACAGGGAGGGAGGCAGGAGAGGACCCGGAGAGCTCTTGCCAGCAGCTCCGCCAGGTTCCTCTCGCGAGATCTGAGCGTTGCCGCGGTTACCGCGGCAACACTCAGATCTCGCAAAAGTGAACTCTAGCCCCGCAGGCTAGAGTTCACTCTCACCACTAGGACCACCAGGCAGAAAGGATCCCCCCTCCCTGGCATAAGGTAACAAGGGAGGGGGGATATTAAGCAATCTGCCCCTACCACTAATGGACCACTAGGGAAGGCAGCAGCACGGTCCCCCCTCCCTACGTAAGGTAAGAAGGGAGGGGGGATCTTTATTAACTAATCTGCCCCCACCTCCACCCCCACAAATCACCCAAACAGCACACACACAGGCATACAGCACACACAGCACACACACACAGCACACACACACAGCACACAGCACACACACACACAGACACAGCACACACACAGCACACACACAGCACACACACACACAGCACACACATACAGCACACACATACAGCACACACATACAGCACACATACACACACAACACACATACACACACAGCACACACACAGCAAACAAACATCACACACACATCACCCACACACAAACACACACACACACACACAGCACACACAGCACACAGCACACACATACAGCACACACATACAGCACACATACACACACCGCACACATACACACACAGCACACACACAGAGCAAACAAACATCACACATACACACATCCTCACACATACACATCACCCACACACACACAGCACCCACACACACACACACAGCACCCACACACCCACATACAGCACCCACACACACACACACACATACAGCACCCACACACAAACATCACCCACACACACACATACAGCACCCACACACACACAAACAGCACCCTCACACACACACACAGCACACTAACAGTACCGTCACAAACACAAACAGCACCCTCACACAGCACACTAACAGGACCCTAACAAACACACAGCACACAACCAGTACCCTCACACACAAACAGCACCCTCACACACAGTACATTAACAGCACCATCACAAACACACACACACACAAACACCCACATAGCACACTACCAGCACCCTCACACAGCACACACACACACAGCAGTACATACATACATACATACATACATATACGCAGCGTGTGCTTGTGCTTTAGGGTGCACACCCTAATGCATTAGGCTGCGCACGCCTATGACTATTGACTCTGTCCTGATGGGGTTAACAATTATTTTGTCGGATGCTCCACCACCCTGATTGCCAAGCTAATAAATGACACACATCCTGTAACTACAAATGTCGATCAGGCCCCGCTAAATTTGCAAAGACCCAATATAGAGAAGTTCAATTTTAGACCTGGACCCATTAGTGTCATTAAGAAACACCTTAATAATTTAAAATTTAAAAACCAGTCAAATCCTAGCAATGCTGTTGAAGCTCAGTGCACCAGCAATTGCTAAACCTGTCACAACCCTAATTAACGAATCCTTGTGTTTGGATACATACCCAAACTTTGGAAGACTGCGAGAGTAGTGCCTATACATAAAAGTGGTGACACTACTTTGGTTTCTAACTATCGCCCAATATCATTTCTCCCAGTATTGTCAAAAATCTTAGAAAAATGCATCCATGCGCAACTACGTGACTATTGCCAACAATCTAACTGTTTGACCCCTGATCAATCAGGTTTTCACCTGAATCACTCCACTACAACTGCCCTCTTAAAAGTTTGCAATGACATCCAAACTGGGATGGAACAAGGAGACCTAACTGGAGCTATTTTTCTTGATTTTGCAAAGGCCTTTGACACAGTAGACCATGACATTCTACTGCACAAACTAAAAAAACTCAGGTTTCAATCATACATATCGGATTGCTTCCAATATGTCTCCATTTCTGACAGTGACTCCCTCATTCTCCCACGTGTGGTGTTCCCCAAGGTTCCATTCTCGGGCCCCTACTATTTACATTATTTATAAATGATCTGCCTAATGTCTGCAAATCTTCAAATGTACACAGTAATCTATGCGAGCAAATCTGATCTACCGCAGCTTGAGGCTGTGCTTCAAGACCAGTTTACAGAGGTAGAAAAGTGGATCACAAAACACAAACTCTTCCCAAACACTGACAAAACTGTCACAATGATCTTTGGAACAGTACCTAAATTACACAAATTACACAATTCCATCCATCCATCAAAACAAAATCAAATAGCGCACTGACCGCAGTCCACTATTTGAAATACTTGGGTATGTTGTTAGACCCCAATCTATCTTTTGACCTCCACATAGAAAAACTTGTATCAAAACTTTATGCAAAACTAGGTGCCCTGTACAGAAACAACTCCGGCCTAAGCTCTACAGTAAAGTAAAAGATTGTTAAGTAAATGCTGATGCCAATCATTGATAATGGGGATGTAGTCAGGGGCGGACTGAGAACCCTCAGGGCCCCCGGGCAAAATAAATCAAGGGCCCCCTTACAGGCCCCACCCATACTCTGCAGCAAGCGTCACCCTTGTCCCGCCTCCATGCACCGCCTCCAGCCACACCCTACACAATCTTTAGACACAAGGAACAAAAGGGCAATAAGCCCTTCGAGGCCCCAGCAGAGACTACAATTGAGGGCTAATGGGCCATGGAGGGGGGTCTTTCTAGCGGGGGGCTATCTCAGTGTCCTTTAGAGAGTGTGTTAGAAAGAATCCCCTCCAGGCCCCATTAGAGACTACAATGGAGTCTAATGGGGCCTG